TTTTAGTAGAGATGGGGTTTCGCCATGTTGGCCAGGCTGGTTTTGAACTCCTAACCTCAAGTGATCCACTCGCCTTGGCCTCCCAAAGTGCTGGGATTAGAGGCGTGAGCCACTGCGCCCAGCCTAATTTTGTATTTTTAGTAGAGACAAAGTTTTTCCATGTTGGTCAGGCTGGTGTTGAACTCCTGAACCCAGGTAATTCACCTGCCTTGGCCTTCCAAAGTTGCTGGGATTGTAGGTGTGAGCCACAGTGCCTGGGCTGGATAATAAATATTTATAAATACGTAATGTAAGCATCAGGTCCCCTTTCTACCACCTATGTTTTCCTTGCCATTCCCAGTAGAGTGGCAGGAGTCCTGGTACTGTGGAAAAAATCTACTGTGGAAAATTACCTAATTTGACTGAAGTGTGCCAGGGAGACCTGTTTTGCTCCTGCGTGCCTCTGCATTTCGGCCAGTTCCTGGGCTCTCATCTACTCCTTTTCATCCATCTATTTGTGGCTGCCGTTGTTTTTCCCTGGTTTCCTGTGTCCTGTTGTTCCCTTCCCAGCAGGACACCGCATCTCTTCCTTTCTTCCTCCAAAGCATTGGCAAACACCAAGCTGTTGCATGCATTCTAACTTTTACTGAATATTTGATGGCAAAACATGGCATAGAGTAAATTATAACAAAGGGGAGAAAACTGTAAATTTTTGCATTGGCCATTTTCATTCCTAGAAGTTTTTTGGATTGGAGGAAGCATTCCTGTGTGTTTTTTAGTACCACCTGGAGTCAATTTCTTTCATTCAACTGATGCACATTGAAGGCCTCCTGTGTGCCAGGCATTGTGCGTGGGCCTGGACATCTGGTAGAGAACCACAGACACAGACACAGTCTCTGTGTTTATAAAGGAAATTATTAAGCAAATACCTATATAAGTACTCAAATAAAAAAACTCAAAAGTTTCATGAGAAGGAGCTTACACAATCTTCCCAAAAGTGGTATTTAGGTTTCGGAGACAAAGGTCCATCAGAGCCTAGTATGACATCTTCCAGGTTTGTCCTCTAGCCTCATCTCCTTAGAGTCCTGTCAGAGTGAGAGAGGGAGAGACTGCAAGAGACACTGAAAGAGCTGTGTCACTGAGGTCACTGAGACACTTGGAGACGTGTCCCACTCTGGGGCTCATCATAGGAGCAGTGGAGTGTTTCTCTTCTCCAGCACCCTATGAGGTGGGTGACTTCCGAGCCTTGAATAGCAAGGAGATGTGCTGGAGGCCTGGGTGTGAGAGGAAGCAGTGCCTTTAACACCAGCAACTTGTTCCTGACACTGGGTTCAGCATCAGAGGCAGCAGGGATGCCAAATCATAGGGTCGACGGTCAGCTGTGGTCTCCGTGGTAGGCAGCGCTGAAAGGAGTCAGGGTGGGCTGGGAGTATGTGTGGAATGGAGAATGTTGTTAGCACACACAAGACTATGGACTTCAAAGGGGAACGGAAGTCTCCTTACAATGGGAGGGCATGAAAGCCCGAGAAATTCCTGTGTCACTAATGCTAACTCACCATGACCCCTGGGCGGAGGTACCCTAGGGAAGTATCAGCTACATTAAAAAGAGTAACAGCCTGGCTTGGTGACTCACACCCATAATCCCAGCACTTTGGCAGGCTGAGGCAGGAGGATCACTTGAGGTCAGGAGTTCAAGACTATCCTGGACAACATGGGGTGATCTTGTTTCTACAGAAAAAGAGTTTTTAATAATATGATGTTGATAATTCTACTGTGGTTATACATGACATATTCCTCTTAATAGAAAACACGGCAGGGCGCAGTGGCTCACACCTGTAATCCCAGCACTTTGGGAGGCCAGGTGGGTGGATCACCTGAGGTCAGGAGTTTGAGACCAGCCTGGCCATCACGGTGAAACCCCATCTTTAAAAATAAAAAAAAATAAAATTTTTAATTAAAAAAAACATATATTAGCCGGGTGTGGTGGCACGCACCTGTAGTCCCAACTACTCTGGATGCTGAGGCAGGAGAATCGCTTGAACCCAGGAGGCAGAGGCTGCAGTGAGTTGAGATTATACCACTGCACTCCAGCCTGGCAACAGAAAAAAAAAAGAAAGAAAGAGAGAGAGAAAGCAAGCAAGCAAGCAAGCACACACGCACACTTGGTCAGGCATGGTGGCTCATGCCTGTAATCCCAGAACTTTGGGAGGCCAAGGCAGAGGGAACAGGAGGTCCGGAGTTTGAGACCAGCCTGGCTAACATGGTGAAACTCTATCTCTACTAAAAATACAAAAATTAGCCAGGTTCGGTGGCAGGTGCCTGTAATCCCAGCTACTCAGGAGGCTGAGGCAGGAGAATCACTTGGACCTGGGAGGCAGAGGTTGCAGTGAGCCGAGATTGTGCCACTGCACTCTATCCTGGGCGACAGGACAAGACCCTGCCTCAAAAAAAATAAATAAATAAATAAAGGAAAACACACACTTATTTAAAAGTAAGGGACCATGATGTATGTAACAGCCTCATATGGTTCAGAAATTTTTTTTTGTAATATATATATATATATATATAGAGAGAGAGAGAGAGAGCATAAATGATAAAGCAAATTGGGTGAAATATTAACAATAGTTGAATTGAGGTAAAGGGCATACAGGTGGTTTCATACTATTGCTATTTTTGTAACATTTAATAAATTTTAAATTGTTTCTAAACACAGTTAATAAAAATAACATTATAGCACGATACATGCAATAATTAGTGCTTGGACAGTGTACAGTAGTGGGACAAAGGAAGGAAACATCAGCTTTGTCTGGGGGTGGGAGTGTGGGGAAGGCTTGAAAGAGAAGTTGAAGGAAAGACTGGAAGGACGATATCTTCTTTTCCTCTATTTATTCATTTATTTATTTAAATTCTTTTTCTTCTTTTTTTTTTTTTTTTTT